ACCAAAACCACAAAAGACAAAAACAATTTATATGGTGGGGGAGAGAGAAACCACAGAACTTATAAGCATGTGTGCATGAACAATGGACATGGACAACAAAGCCGGGGACAGGGCAGGGAGGGAGGGGGAGGGGGGAATCAGTGGGGGGAAAAGGAGAAACATCTGTAACAAAAATTAATTAATAAAAAAAACAATTTATAAATGTATCTTTGTCAAAATGAAAAACTTTTGTGAGTGACAGGACAGTATCAAGTAATTTTTAAAAAAACCACAGAATGGGAACAGTTATTTGCAAATCACATATCTTGTAAGAGATTAGTGTCCAGAATACATAAATAACTCTTACAATTTAATAATAAAAATCCAAATAAAACAAATTTTAGAAAGGCAACAGTTATGCATAGCTATTTCCCCCCGCAAAATACCCAAATGACCAATTAATCAGTTTCTAAATGACATGGGAAGATACTCAACATTGTTATTCATTAAGGAAATGCAAATATAAATCATAATGAGTCACCATTTCATACCCTGCATGTTTTTTAAAGGAAGGAACTAATTAGTGTTGGTAAACATGTAGAGAAATTGAATCCTGGTAGCAAAGTAAAATTGTTCAGCTCTGTGGAAAACAGTTTGTCAATTCCTCAAAGAGTTAAACATAGAGTTACCATACAATCCAGAAAGTTCACTCCTGGGTGTATATCCAAGACAGTTAAAAATATATGTCCCCATAAAACATGTACATTAACATTCAGAGCAGCGCTATTCATAGTAGCCAAAAAGTAGAAACAACTCAAATGTCCTTCAACTGATGAATGGGTAAAAGAATTGTGATTTAACCATTTAAGGGAATTATTCAACCATATTATTTAATCAATTCCTTAACCATGAAAAGGAATGAAGTATTGACACATGCCACACCATGGATGAACCTTCAAAAGATTGTGCTAAGTGAAAGAAGCCAGACTCAAGAGGTCACATCTTGTATGATTCCATTTACATGAAATGTCCAGAAGAGACAAAATCATAAGGACAGAAAGTAAATCAGTGGTTACCAGGGAATGGAGGGAGGTGGGAGCGGGACTATTACTAACAAGGGTGGGATTTCTCTGGGGGGCGATGGAAATGTTCTGAAATTGGATAGTAGTGATGATTGTACATTGTAAATATTCTAAAAACTTCTGAATTCTACAATTTAAAATAGCAAGTTTTATGTTACATGAATTTTATCTTAATTTAAAATAACCATAATTATATATAATTTACATCAATCAAATAATTTTTGATAAAATAAAAATACAATTTAAAAAATACGTTATCCTTTAACATCCCTTCTAACTCTAAACTTGCCTGAATCTACCCTTGGTGGAACCCAGGGCTCAGACGACTCCTACTCTGTCGACCCCGCCTGCCTGTGGAGACATTGGGTAACCGGCTCTTCTCTGTGTGACCAGTGCTACAGTCAAGGTCTAACATGAGGTCCTGGGTGGTAGGTAGCAAGGGGGTTGGAGATAGGTCCAACCAGGAAGTCTGGTGGTGGGAAGAGAAGGGATTAATGAAGACTCCATCCGCCAGTCTGCGCCACAGTTCCCTCTCCTTTCTCCAGCCTATTGGGCAGGGTAGGTGTTTCAGTTTCTTTGAGCAAAATACGAGAAGGACCATTTCTGCCTCGAGACGCATGTAAAGACGTGTAGATATAGGTGAGTTCCTTTTAAACTTATGTTTTCCTCTAATTTTAATAGCTTATGCCAGGAATTCTTAGACCTTGGTGGCCAGCAGAACCACCTGAAGAGCTAGTAAATGTGCAGATTCCTGAGCCCTAGCTCCTGAGGTTTTGATTCCATAGGTCTGGAGATTCCCCCAAACCTGCAATGCTAAAAATCTGGTCAGTGGGTGGTACTCGGAGCTGAACTGTTTTGTATAACACTTTCCTTTTCTTCATGCTAAAGAAAGTAGAGGGGTTTGTTGGTTATAAGTCTTCATGTAAGGTGTTGTTGTTAGGGGCAGTTAAATAATTTAGAACTGTGTTTCTCAATTCAAACTATATTGTGGACCAGAAAGGTAAGTTTGCTCTCTTAGGGTTGAGGGGCCCAAGGAACTGGGGAGGGAGAGCAATGACCGGCAAAGGGAACCAAACTAGAATGCAACTCAGAGTGGTTTGGGGTCTGGCAACATTCTCCTTTGTATCCCCAAGGCCTTCCAGGCCCAGACAGTGAGTACCTCTGAAATTTTGAGCAAATGAATGAATCATCAACAAAGTGGAGTGATTTTTGTAGATGCCCAATATCCCCATTATTTTTCATTTGCTGAGAGTTTATGTAACGAATGGGTATTGAGTTGTGTCCGATGTTCTTCTGCATTTATCAAAAAGGAGCATGCAGTTTTGTCATTATTCTGTTAATATGGTGACTTAAATTAACTGATTTTTCAAATATTAAGCCATCTCATATTTCTTGGATAAACCACTTGGTCATGGTGTATTATCCCTTTTAAAAATATTGCAGGATTTGATTTGCTAATATTTGGTCAAAGGTTTTGTTTCTACGTTCATGAGGGATTTTGGTCTGTAGTTTTTTTTCTTCATTGCAATATTTTTGTCTGGCTTTTGTATCAGGATTGCGCTGGCCTCATAAAATGGGTTGGGAAGTATTCCATCTTATTTTTCAGATAGTTTGTATAAGATTAGTGTCATTTCTTCCGTAAATGTTTGACAAAATTCACTAGAAAAATGATGTACTTCTGGAGTTTTCTTTGTGGGAAAGTTTTATTTTTATTATTTTTATTGTGAATCCTCATCCAAGGATATTTTTCTACTGATTGATTTTTAGATAGAGTGGAAGAGAGGGACAGGAGGAGCGAGAGAAAAACATCGATGTGAGAGAGACACATTGATTGGTTGCTCCCACACGACCCCAACCGGGGCTGGGGATTGAACCTGCAACCCAGGCATGTGCCCTCGATCGGGAATGGAACCCTCGACCCTTTGGTCCATGGGCTGATGCTCTAACCACCGAGCCAAACTGGTGAGGGTGGAAAGATTTTTTATAGTTAACTAAATTTCTCTAATAAATGCAGGACATTTCAGTTTGCCATATCATTTCAGATTGGTTTTAGTAAATTGAATTATTTAAGTGTTTTCCATTTCATTTAAGTTGTTGAATTTAAGATAAAATTAATATAATATTTCTTTGTTATTATTTTAAAGTCCGTAAGACCTGTGGCAATAACCATTCTTTTAGACCTGCTGTTGATGGTTTCTGTTCTTTTTTTGTTTTTGATCTAGCTAGAGTCTTATTACCTTTACAAATATTTTTCAAACAACCAGTTTTGTACATTTTCTCTCTTTTTTATTTTCTATTTCTTTATTTCTTCTTTATCTTTATTATTTCCTTTCTTCGACTTATTTTGGGTTTAAATTGTTCCTCTCCAGTTTCTGAGTCACCACTTTTAGATCATTGATTTTAAACATTTCTTCTTTCTAATTATAAAGTATTTAAAGCTATAAAATTTTCTCTAAGCACTGCTTTAGTTGCATCCAATGAATTTTGATATGTACTACTTTCATTATTGTTCAGTTCAAAATATTTTACAATTTGCCTTGTGATTTCTTTGACTCATGGATTCTTTAGAAGTATGTTTTTGTACTTCCAAATTATTGAGGTTTTTCTAGCCATCTTCTTGTTAATAGATTTTCTAATTTTGAGTCTTTTATGTAATTTTCTTCCTCCCTTTCATTTATTATGAATATTTTTTCTTTTATTCCCTTGAGTATTGTTATAATAGTTGCATTTTCATCCTATTTGCAAATTCTGCATCTAGGTTGTGTCAGGGGCAGTTTCTTGATTGTCATTTTTCTGAGTATGAGCCATATTTTCCTATTTCTTCATGTGCTGAGTAATTTTCTATTGTATCCTGAACATCGTGAAAGTTGTGTTCAGGAGACTGAATTCTGTTTTATTCTTTTGATAAGTATTGATCGTTTATATGTTGCTTGCTTCTGTAGCAGACAACTGACTTGGCTGGCTCAGACTCTAAACTCTGCCTCCCCTGAGGCGGGCAGCGGCTGGAATCTCGGTTCAGTTCCTTCCGCTCTCACTAGTACACTCATGGCGCAGAAGTCAGCTAGACATCTGCACGGCAGAGACACACACGTTTGAGGCTCTTGCTCTCCAGTCCTTTCCTAAGAGAAACATTTGCTCCGTGTCATCTATTCTTGGACCTGTTCCAGGAGGCAGCAAGGTTTTTCCAACAATTCTGCCATCAAGACTTCTACATTTTAAGGGACAAAGGAAAGGAGGGAAAAAGAAAGGAAGGGAGAGAAGGAGGGAGGGAGGGAGGCAGACATAGTAAATGCTCACTAGGTATTTATTAAATTAATGAGGGAGTGACTGGGATCGTTTTATAAATGAGGACCTAAAGTGCAAAAAGATCCAATAGCTTGCCCAGGAACACAGGAAGGGGGCCCAATTTTGATCTCAGGTCTTCGAATCCAGTTTCACTTCTTTAGTCTACACCTAAGACTCAATACTGATCTTCAAGGAGAAAAAGGACTTCCAACAGAAAGTAAATCAATGCATTGTTTCTTTCGTCAAGAAAATCCTGGTAATGCCCTGGCCAGGTGGCTTAGTTGGTTGGAGCATCATCCTGTGCCCCAGAAGGTTGAGGTTTAGTTCATGATCAGGTCACATACCTAGGTTGTGGGTTTGATCCCCAGTCAGGGCACATATGGGAGGCAATAAATTGACGTATCTCTCTCACATTGATGTTTCTCTCTTTCACTCTCTCTCTCTCCCCTCCCTCCCTCTCTAAAATCAATTTTTGTAAAAATCCTGCTGAGAAAAAACTGCTAACCAAACCAAAGAGTATGATTAATGACTGTCTTCTGGTGAAAGTTCCTAATCTCATTATAAATAATTCACCAACTGGTCGCTGATTCATGGACCACACATTTTTGTAACATGAATTCGCTTGAACTCTAGCCTAACCACATGGCCTTAAACTACACGTCCGATATCGTTTCAGATGCGCTCAATGTCTAGATGGAGCCCTCAGGCACCCCAGAGTCCACCACCCATCTTGATTATGATTATAAGAGCTTTATGTGTGAGAACCCAACCTTCACCTTCGCTTCCTTCAGCATCACCATCCTGTACTCCCTGGTGTTCCTCCTCAGCCTGCTGGGCAACAGCCTGGTGTTGTGGGTCCTGGTGAAATACGAGAGCCTGGAGTCTCTCACCAATGTCTTCATCCTCAACCTGTGCCTCTCAGACCTGGTGTTCTCCTTCTTGTTGCCTCTGTGGGCCCTGGTGTACCACTGGGGCTGGGTGCTGGGAGACTTCTTCTGCAAGCTCTTCAACATGATCTTCTGCATCAGCCTCTACAGCAGCATCTTATTCCTGACCATCATGACCATCCACCGCTACCTGTCCGTGGTGAGCCCCCTCTCATCTCTGAGAGTCCACACCTTCCGGTGCCGTGTGTTGGTGACCGCAGCTGTGTGGGCGGCCAGCATCCTGTCCTCCATCCCCGATACCATCTTCCACAAGGTGTTTCATCATCCAGAACCTTCATCAGAACCTTCGCAATGTGATTATTCAGAACTCAAGTGGTACCTCGCCTCAGTCTACCAGCACATCGTCTTCTTCCTGCTCTCCATGGGGATCATCCTGTTCTGCTATGTGGAGATTCTCAGGACCCTGTTCCGCTCGAGGTCCAAGCGGCACCACCGGACAGTCAGGCTCATCCTCACCATTGTGCTGGCACACTTCATCAGCTGGGCGCCCTACAACCTCGTCCTGTTCCTGCAGACGCTGCTGAAACTTGACATCATCCAGGGCTGTGTGTTCCACTGGCAGCTGGATTACGCCTTGGTCATCTGCCGCGACTTCGCCTTCTCCCACTGCTGCTTCAACCCCGTGCTCTACGTCTTCGTCGGGGTCAAGTTCCGCAGACACCTCAAGAGGCTGCTCCGGCACTTCTGGCTCTGCCGAGCACAGGCACCCAGCTCCTCCCCGGTGCCTCCCTCCCCGGGCTCCTTCCTCTATGAGGGCGCCTCCTTCTACTGAAAGGGAGTTTGGTGCCGCAGGTTGAAATGGGCAGAAGAGCTGGAGTGGGAGCGAAGAGAAGAGTACGAGAAAGAGCATTGCAGAAGGCACAACACTGGGGGTGGAGGCGAGAGACATACATTGCACCAGGAGGTCCTCATGGCCTCTCTTCGCAGACACGTGGCTCCCTGCCACTGAGGAGAACATTTCGTGGGTTCTGAGTTTATTATTCGTTCCTTCATGTAGACATGGATTTCTCATCATTGCTTAGTTCAGAAGGTTCTAAAACATGAAAGGATTCCCAGAAAGGAGCAGCCTTCAAGACCTGATGAGGGGCTGAAACTCACGTGTGATAACTGTGCAAATGCAGGCTGCTGGCTGCAGGGGTGTCCCAGCTGCCTTTGGAGAGTGTTGGTTCTGTATTCCTCATGACGACTGGAGGAGACTGTCTGCCGAACAAAAATAACCACATCCGCGCCCTGGCCGGGTAGCTCTGTGGGTTGGAGCATCATCCATGCACCAAAAGGGTTGTGGTTCGATTCCCAGTCAGGGCACATACCTAAGGTTCCGGGTTCAATCCCCAGTCAGGGTGCATATGGGAGGCAACTGATCAATGTTTCTCTCACATCAACATTTCTCTCTCTTTCTCTCTCTCTCCCTGCCTCTCTCTCTAAAAAAAATCAGCAAAAGCCTGTCCTCCAGTGAGGATTTTTTAAAAATTCCTTAAAAAGAAAGAAGTAACCAGCCCAGCCGGTGTGGCTTAGTACACTGAGTGTTGTCCCATGAACCAAGAGGTCACTGGTTCGATTTCTGCTCAGGGCACATGCCCAGGTTGTGGGCTCGATCCCCAGTGAGGCACATGCAGGAGGCAGCCGGTCGATGTTCTCTCTCATCGATGTTTATCTCCCTCTCTCCCTCTCCCTTCCTCTCACTCTAAAAATCAATAAAAACATATTTAAAAAAGAAAGAGAGAAAGAGAGGGAGGAAGGAAGGAAGGAAGGAAGGAAGGAAGGAAGGAAGGAAGGAAGGAAGGAAGGAAGGGAAAGAAAGAAAAAGCAACCACATTCTCCAATAAGCATAGTCAGAATGAAATCTGGATTCTAAAAACCCACAGCTGGACTGGAGGTGTGTTCTACATCATAATTCCAGTTCCTAGCACGTGGCTGGCACCTGCATATTTAGGCCATAGATCTTTTATGGGAAAAGAATGAATGCAGTGAGTGCTGCCTGCTGCATGGAGCATTTGGAGGATATAAAGATGAACAAGGTACAGTCGGTACCCTCCAGGTGCCAAGAGTCCAGCTCTGAAGGCCCAGACTTCCACCCACCTTGGTGAAGGCACCCAACGTGAAGATTCCTCCAACGTCTCCTTCTCTCCAGGTGGCTGTTGAGCTGACACTCCAGATTCATCACTTTCCACCTGAAATGTTCTCCTCCTTCTTGGTCAACAGCACCAGCACCCCTCCCCACAAGTCACTGGCTCTCTTTGAGCCCTGCACTTCCTTTCCCTCCTGTCCCATGGCCCGGTCCTATTGACCCCGCCTCCCCAGTGTCTCTCAGCATTGTTCTCGCCATTGCATGCCCATGGATTCAACCCCAATGACCTTGCTTCCTCAGCATCTTCCTGCTGCTCATCTCGTTCCCCACCAGTGTCCTCTGCCTTGAAACCAGGAGGCTGCTCAAAATGCTTAGTGGCTCCTTATTACATATAAATAAACCCAAACACCTTAGTGAATCCTTCAAGGCCCCTACAATTCAGTGCCAAGTGACTTTTCCATTCTATTCCACCTGAAGCCCCCACCCCCACCAGCTTGGGATCCAATGACAAAAGAACCCTGGCCCTTTTCCAGGCCTCTGGCATGCTGTCACCTGGGCCTGGGACACGTGTCCTTCTGCTCCCTAATCTACAAGCCCCAGCTGCAAGGCCAGCTCCTTCAGGAACCCCTCCCCAGTCTTTAGGTCAGGAGAGCACTCTCCCGGTTGTCCCCTTGAAAACATTACTGGTCACTTTCCACCAAGTGTCCTAGTTACACATGTGCATGTCTTATCTCCCTGCCCCATCAGACTGCAAACTGCCTGAGGGCAGGATCTTGGTCCTGCACCCTGCCAAGCATGAAACTGGCACTCTGTCACTGTGTACTGAGTGGGAGCAAAAAATGACAGCCATTATTATTCTCCTAATTTATGCTTTTTGGGGAGCTGGGCCATGGGGCACTTTCTACCTTCCTTGCCCCAAGCTGTGTCTTTATAGATATTAACCTGTCTTCCCTAGCCTACACTCAGAGTACATGGCTTAATCTTCTCTGTGGCAATGACTATAGTTGACCTTGCCTTTTAGTTGATTGTACACATGCTTGCCTCTTACACAGTCCATCACTTCACATCCAAGGACATAGATAAAAGCCACCCTCCAAATCTTCCCATACCATACAACCCTGGTCCCAATCTGTGAACCTGATTCGGCTCTGGAATGAGGCCTTTGGAAAAGCTTCCCAGGTGATTCTGACATGCACCCTACTCAGAAACATTGGTTACAACTCCTTGAAAATGGTAAATCCAGAATCTTCCACAGTTCCTTGAGCAGGACTTTGCACAGAGTCACTGTGGCACTCAATATATGCTTGTTGAATGAAGTAGCTACTAATACAGCCCTTGGCTGGAGCCTAGAGAGCTTATAAGGCATTTCCTCCTTCAGTTCCAGCTGTAGTTTCAATGATCTAGTTGTCATTGGGTGGCCTTTGGAGGACTTTGACCTTGCTGGGGAAGGGTGAGGGTCTAGTTTTAAGAATTAGGTCAGTAGCACCTGCCGGAGAGGGCTGGGTGGTGCCCCAGTGAAGGGACTGGCTAACCAATAGGTGGGGCCATCACTCCCCACAGATGGAAGAGACAGCAAAAGGAAGGAGACAATGAAATGGTTTCAGGGTCAGAACTAAGCCTATGGGCTTCTGTCAGGCTAATAATTTGGCACCCCCTCGAACTGACAATATTTAACTTTTGTTCAACTTTTATTTAGATGGCAGGCTGAGCCCCAGGAGCAGAAGGACAGAGAGGATTCCAGCTCATACCCCCACTTGGCCAACCAAAGCCCTGCGGGTTTTGAGCCCACTCTTCTTGGAAGGCAGTTTTAAGGGAGTCTTGTATCACCCTTTGGGAGGCCTCGATCTGCCCCGGTTGGTTTGGCTCAGAGGTTAGAGCATCGGTCCGCGGACCAGAGAGTCCTGGGTTCAGTTCCCATTAGGGGCACGTACCTCGGTTGCAATGTCTCTCTGGCCCCAGTTGGGGTCATGTGAGTGGCAACCACTTGATGTGTCTCTCTCACATCAATGTTTCTCTCTCTCTTCCTCCCTCTCTCCCTCACGCTCTATCTGAAGATAAATGCGAAAATGTCCTTGGGTGTGAATAGGAAAAAAAAGACCAGAGAGGCTCCATCCACCTTCTCCTTACCCCATGCCATTCCTTCAAATCCCAACAGACGTATCCAAGTATTTCTTTCAACACATACAGTCATATCCTTAGGAACACTTCATTAAATACAATCATGTCTATCTCTTTACATTTCTAGTGATGTTTTGGCTCTCCCAATAGACTAGCTCTTTTTGGTCTGCGGGTTAATGCTCTAACCACTGAGCCAAACTGGCCAGGGCCAGACTAGCTCTTAAAGTGATCTTTAACCAAGAGTCTTCTCCTAATCCAACTCCTTGGGGATCCAAAGAAAGAGGCATTGAGACAGAGAGGTATACATGGGAAGATAGAGGGAAACCCTATCAAAAGGGAGTGTGGTCGAGACCAGGGACCACACTCGACATTCTCTGACCACCTGCTTCTTTGGCCACAACCTCTGCTTTCCCCTCCCTCCACCCACTGAAACCACTGTTCAACCTCAGCTGGATTCTTGTGGGCCTGCCCCTCCCCCATCAGTTGACATATGATGTCCTGGACACAGGCTGCAGACCTGCCACACCCAGAACATAGAAATCCCTAGCGGTACCCAAGGAAGGTCCTCTTCACAGCATTTCCATCTCCACACTCTCTTCAACAAAATCAGGAGGAGAGGAACCTTGCTGATCTCCAGTTGGGAACATGCCTCCGCGCCCTGGGCAGCCCCAGACCTCAGATTCCCCCAACCAGAGCGGAAGTTCCTCGAGAATACAATCTGTGTTGCATATCTAGAACCTTCGTTGGTGCCCTGCAATATTTGTGGTTGGCTGAGTAAGTGGATAGGAGACCATCTTTTTTTGTTTGTTTTTTCTACTTTCACTTTCTCTTCTGACACTTGCTTATATTACATCTTCTGGTCAACTCCAGGTACTGCCCATGGACTTCCCATGAATTCTTCCCTAGAACCTGCCACCCCAGACATCACCTGATTTGTTGAACTCCTGATGGCTTTCATTTGTGAAAGCTGTCTGTGATGGGACAAAGAGACCCCCAAGTATGGAAAGCCCAGTAGGAAAGATTCCCAAAGTAAACTGGCTAAGAAGCCTCTTGGCATTTGAGCCCTGGACCCAGACCCCAAAACTCACCCACTGTGACCCTGGGTCTCTCAGAGACACAGTGTCATATGTAAAACCGTATAAATGTCAACAACACTGACTCTACCCACAGGTGTGCGTGAAGTCATATGTGTAAAAGTGCTTGTTTTGTAAATCATTCAGCGCAGACTAATACGAATTACTATTGCAATCATCTCATAAAAACAGAAAGAATCATTGTATCATATGCACAAATAAATTTCTACCCAAGATTATTATATAAGATTCCTAAAAGTTCTCTGATTATGGGGGGGGGGGCTGTGTTAGGATTTGGGGTGAAGGAGGGACACAAAAGAAGGATTGGAGATAAAGTGTGGAACAGCCCTGTGTGGGTCAGGATGGTGAGATTCTGGCTCCATTTAGGCCTTAGGCAAAATGGTCCAAGGCCAAGTCTGTCTTGAGAGCTCTGCAGCTCAGTTTTCTGTCCCTATCTCTCCTCTGGCCTAACACCCAAGTCTTCTGTTCCCAAGTCCAGGGATTTTTTTCTTTCTCATGATCCACTTGAATCCAAACAAGGACCTTCCAGAGATCAGCCCTCCAACCAGAAGGAATGACACTATACTGTTTTCTGCTGGGAATTTCAAGCATCCTGAAAATTTGGAGAGAGACACCTTGCAGGATTGGGCAGAAGCTGGAGAAAGGGAAGTGGGGCTATCCTAACTATTCACCAAGTTATTCTGAGTACAGAGCTCCCCTCTCCACCATGGAGCCAGCCCAGATTTTAGGTGTGAGGTTGTTGCAGTCTCCTCCCACACAACCTCCTTGGGCCCCACAAAAGGAAGTGTGGCCAGAGGGCAGGCTGAAGTATTCTATAACAGTATTATTGAGAATTTTCTTCCTGACAGCCATTTATTTAAAGGTTATCTCTTGGTAGCAAAGACAAGAGTTTTTCTAAGGAGCCCTTTTCAGTTTCTTCAGCCTCTCACATGTAGTTGATTTCCTTTATTCTGAGTGTCCAGAGCCAGGTTTGTGTGTGTGTGTGTGGGGGGGGGGGGGGGACTTTATTTTTATAATCAGAAGAAAAAAAGAAAAGATTTTTGTTGCACAGTCTTGGGCAAGGGAATACTTAATGCCTCCGTAGGTTTGCCTTGAGAATTTGGATGCTTAAGTAGTGGAAAAGGCACTGAATTAGGAGTCTGAAGATCAGGATTTTAGTCCCAGCTGTGCCATTAGCTGGTTGGGTATGGTTCTGCCAATAGTAATGATGATGATAATAGTGGCAGCGGTGGTGGTGGTGATGATGATGAAAGATGATGGCCATGACCGACCATCCAGTTAACCACACCCAGGTATACCATAGTATGTAATCTGCAGTGTTCCCGGGACTCAAGAGTCTTTGAATCAAGAAGAAAATGAAATGATTTTGTTGTTACTCTTGCAAAATACACACTATAGAAGATATAAATGTATACAGACATTATTAATAAGTGCATTTTGTTCTGTTGAGTCCAGCCTGTGCAACTTATCAATAGAAAATATAACTTGTAAACAGGGCTGAGAGTAGGGCAGGAGTTAGGAGGTAGTTCATTTATTAATGCGGGTTTTGAGCACTCACTCTAAGTAGACTCCTGTGTTAGGAAGTGAGGGAGACCAAAAGACAGGATATGAGACCCAGCAATATATTACGTTCTTTTATTTAGTCCAACGTATCAAAATCATTATCAATTCAACATGTAATCAATATAAAAATGATAATATTAATTTTACATTCTTTTTTTATACCAAGTCTTTGGAATTCAGATGTATTTTGCATTTACAACACAGGCACAATTCAACTCAAACTAGCCACATTTCAAATTCCAAAAGTCACACACGCACAGCGTTGCTTTCGAGAAATATCCCAGACCCGTGGTTTGCGGGCACACTTGCCCCTGAAGATGGCAAGGGTTAACCTACCGCCTGAGGCCTGGAAGGACAGTAGGAGATGCCAACCTCAGCTCTGCGGAGCATGCCGGGAGTTGTAGTCTGCGCCCAGCTGCCCCGGGGTCCGATGGGCATTGTAGGCCTCGGGCTTGTGGAGCATGCCGGGAAATGTAGTCCGCACCCGCCTGTGGCGGGTATGCGTATCATGGCCGTCTACTCCGCGCTCCCGCAGGCTTCCGCTTGGCCCCAGAAAGTTTCGGTTCTGCCCAGCGGTGGACCTACTAGCGCGTAAGTGCCACCTGGGGACCGGCCGGACTCTGGGGGCGCCCAGGCTGCTCTCGGCCCCGGAGCGGAAAACTTCCTTCCAGTCGCAGCTTGTCACCTGTTGCCCTTCTCATCCCCGCCCCTCCCGGGTCTCGCACAGAGCCCGCCCGAGCCCGAGCCCAGCGGGCCTGGGAAGTTCCCAAGGCGGGTGAACTGACCCTGGAGCCCAGGCTGCTCCGGTGACCAGTCAGAAGGACAGACCCAACACCAACTGCGACGGCCGTGGGGCCACAGAGGAACCCACCTTGTGGTGGTCCCAGAACAGCCAGGGATGTGTCAGGCACAGGACAGGTCCCCAGGTTCCCGCCTGCCTCGTCCAAGAGGCCGCTGACCTTCAGCTAGTTCCCGCCCCGCCGGGCCAGGAGAGCTCAGACCTGCACTTCGAGAGGCTCCACTGAAGCCCTGGTGTCTCCCCTCCTCCCGTGGGGTGTTGGCGGGCTCCTCCCGGGACACCCTCGGGTCCCCAGCCACCGCTCAGGTGGGGTCTCAGGATAGTCCCGGCCGTCCTAGCCCAACCACCAGCGGGTCTGTGGATTGTCACTGGTGTGGCCGCTCTGGACTTGAGCTGGGGTCCACTTTAATCAGAACCTAGGCTGGGGATGCAAGAGGGTGGTTAATTTTAGCATTATTATTTTTTTATAAGAAATCATGTGTGGTTGACATATTAACCACGTGGCTCCCTGTTAACACATCTGATGCGCCTTGTCAGTCTTCAGTCCCTGTCGTCTGCCCACTCCGGAAAAGGAAATAGAGTGCTTAGTGAAACCGCCTGCATTGGCCGCAGCCTCTCTGCCCCTCGGGGTGGCTTAACCAGCCGTTTCCTTTTCTGACGGAGAAATGGGTCAGGGCTCTGAGAGCAGAGGATCAGGCCTTAATCTGCTCGCTGCCCTGGAGCCTCACTGTCCCTGCAGCAAGCTTAATTTCCCTGCCATCGGCCAATGCGGATGCCAGGCGATGCGGCCTGGCAGACTGTCACCTTGAGGCTTTCTGCTTTCAGTGGCTCTCACCTTCCGAAGTGGGCCCAGGTGGGCACCTGACCCCCCGCCTTCTGTGGCAGGAACTGCTCATACATGATTGAATGCCCTGTACCAGTTCTGGGCCGTTGTTACCGTTACCGGAAAGGGGGCCTGGCCCAAGTGGGTCTGCCTAGGGTCGGGCCAGTAGTGTGTGGGTTCTTGACTTCGTGCAGGAAGAGTTTCACAACACGAGTCCAGGTGAATTTTAAAGGATGTTTATTAAAGCTGGGGACAGTGAAACAAGCAAGGGCTGGGGACGTGAGTCCAGGCTGGTCCGCTTTGGTTCCCTGGGAAGTCAGAGAAAACGGGTCTTGGGTTTTGCCTGGGATGAACTGCCACTGCCCACTGCTGCCCTGGTTGTAAGCCTCGTGGAGTCCCTTGGAGTGGAGGAGATGCATACGGGGAGGAAGAAGCAGGGTGGGGATAGGGCGCTGGGGCATGGTCCCGGGAGAGTGCACCCTGGGACATTTGTTTTGAGGGGTTTCACAGGCTGAGAGTTTAGGGGAGGTCTTAGGGAAGGGTTTCAGTAGAATACTCATCAGTTTTATGCCGATGTACCAAAATGAGATTTTTTTCCTCTTAACTTCATCTGTCCTTGGATTTGGTTGGCAAACGGCACTCATTGGATTTCTGCTGTCTACCTGAGTAGGGTAATTTAAGCTGTTTACCCTCTGCTTGGACCATTTACTCTAAAGTTCCCTAGTTTAGGGAAGATAGGACTTACTAGATGGCTGCAGACTGCTTGGCATCTAGATTTTCTAGCTGTCTGCAAACTACTGTTTAACTATCTGGTCTCAGTTTCCCTGTTCCACTGGTCCTGGTTACTGGCCTGTCTCATCACCCCGGAAAGCAGAGTTCATTGTCTCAGAGATGGGCCGTGTGGCCTTTGATTACAAGGATCTGAAAGGGCTCCTGCTTTAGGACACGGATTTTCTGCTTCATTTAGTTTTTAAATTGTTTTCAGTATTTTATTAGAAAAATAGTTAAGCACACAGAATCATTGAAAGACCTGTTAGATTCACAATTAATATGTTGATGATTTTTGTGCTTTAGAGTCAATTCTCTAGCTGCTCCTTGGATGGTCTTTGCTCCTTGTGGCTGGTTTCAGGGCACCAGCATGGGTTCAGGAGCCACGTTTATAGCCTGGACCTTTTGGGGCAGGATGGCTCCCACGGATGTTAGTGATGAGAGGAACCACTTAGAGCAGATGTCAGGGAAGAAAAATGATCCTCTCCCCTTCCAGATTCTTCTGGTTGGATAATCAAATCAACACGAGACAAATGAGCAGAAGAGAAACAAATTCAGGTTGGACAACAGATACGTGGGAGAGTCCCAGGAAAACTGCGTGACTCACCAAAATGGTAGAAGCCCTCACCTCAAATACCACCTTCAGCTAGAGACAAAGCGTACGTTGGGGGCGGAGGGTCAGTTATAGGAGGTTACCGGAAAGCACGGAAACCAGGGTAAGGTCGTTATGCAGATTTAAGCCGGAGCCTTCGCCGTGGAAAGTAAAAGCAGGCCGGTAACAGGAGGGGGAAACACCCTTACAAATGGAGATTTCCCTGACAAATGTGAATGTCCTTGCACAAAGGGCAACTGCTAGGCTTGCAGTGCTTCTCCCACAGCTGCTGTTTCTTAAAATGAACTAGCCTAACACAATCAGTGTCCCAACGAGGCATACTTTGGAGTAGCAAACTCAGCTGCCCTTCCTTCCAGCAAGACTGGAGCCGCTGGTGACTTTCCCCGCGTTGGCCACCGGGCCGTGGACTCTGGCACCTCCAGCACACAGTCAGCACTCACGGTGGTCTTCCTCCCCCTCTTGGCTGAAGGTTCTCTGGTGATTCCAAGGACAACTTGGGTGACTCAAGACCAGAGTGCCTTTAAACCTGGGGCAGAGAAGCATATTAGTAGCTGCGGGCTCATGGTGAAAAGCACTGGAGGTAGGAGCTCGGAGCCTGGAGCCTCGTGCGCTGGAGCAGCCCCAGTCGGCAGAGTAGGTGAGGTTCATAGCCAGTGCCTCGTAACCAACCCGCAGCTGCCTGTGGGCAGAGATGATGGAGTTCGGCCTTGTCAGCATCTCCTCACCTAGTTGGCTGGATGTCATTGTCTTGCTCCGAAGATAAACAATATTTTCTATTTGTAATCTCAGTGCCAGGTTTTGTTTCGTTGTTTTTAGTTCTTGATTGGTATACGAGCCTCTGCTTGAACAACTAGGTAAACCAGTAGGATGGGTATTGAACTCTTTCCCTGAGTCTGTGTTCTTGCTGTTCTTAGATGTGTCACTGCCCTGTCCCCGTAATAACGAGCTTCACCCGCAGAGCGCATGGGCTCCATGGCTCTTGGAAGATGAGATGGCAGAGATGGGATGAGTTTTGCAGGAGGCCTCTTCCCCTCTTACATTGAGGTCATGCAAACTGATGCTTGTGGTGACCACCAGTGGTCCTTCCTGTTTATGCAGCTCTCCCTGGCGTTTGAAAGACACCAAGTGGCTGTTTCTAGCTGGACCAGATCCTGTTTTCAGGGACGAGGATGTGTACATCAGTGTAGTTCTGAGGACGGACTTAAGGAGAACCTGTGGTCTGATTATGGTACTGTGACCCTGTGGCCGGTTCAGGGACCCAAGAGTTGCTTTGACCAAACCACAGGAGGGGTTAAGTAGTACAGCCTCAGCCTGGGACAGAAAACTGTTAGGGAAGACCTTGCAATTTAAAAGAAAAACCTGAAGCAGAAAAAGCCTTCCAAGCAAGTCATTAGCATGTAGGAGGGACAGGCCAAGCGAACATGTAAGATGTCCAGCATGGGCTGGACAACCGAGCCAGAGGTGGGGACCGTTTAATGTGGAGCTGGAAGGAATTTCCTCAGGCTGAACCTGGAGCCCCAGGTGCCTTGTCCAGGGCATCTGCAGCCGTGGTCAGCGAGGGGCACTTAGCAGGAGCCTTGGCCATTGAGAATGTCTGTTCTTCTCTTTCCCCACTCCTCTGTAAGGGAAGGTAAAGGGTAACCTCCCCACACTGTAACAAGCAAACAAACAAACGAAAAAACCACCACCGTTACCCTAAACACACAAGGTAGGGAGGTCCAGTAACTACCCTGGGACAAATAGGTTTGCTAAAATTGCCTGAAAATAGTTTGGTGAGCCGAACATACCATTCTCACCCAGTCAGCATGATCTTGATTGCCTTATTAGATGCATGATAGGTAATGGAAATTTCACATGACTATTCTGATTTCAACTTCAAATACGGTCTAACTTGGCAAGACTCGGCTACAACTGGTAAAGGAGAAGGCCTTTCCCTTGCCTACTGCCGCAGCTCCCACAGTCCTGGGTCTTGCTTGCCTCTCCTATCTGCCAGCGTAGCCCCACTCCCACCCCGGCCACACCCAGGTCGCTGCTCTTCTCACCCTAGGAGCACAGCAGAACTCAGATCCATCAATCCCTTCTAACCCACCCTTGCAGCCTTCCTGTTTGATGGCTCCAGACCCGCACTCCCAGGACGAGGAAGGAAAGGGCCTTGGGGAGCATGGGAGAGCCGCAGGTGGTGGTCCTGCCGCGCCTGTTGACCTGGACGGGGTGGAGGAGGCTTCTGGGTAAGGCTGTCTCGGGCTCAGAGCTGTAGCGCACTCTCCTGTGGACACATTTAATCCACGCAATCCCCACATTACATAATTCCATTCATTCTCAGAGTAATAACTATAGTATTGCCACAATAATGATGATATAATGTCTGCAGTTAATGACTTTTTAAATATCAACATAAAAATATTTCATGCTCAATAAAGGAAAATCGAGAAATAGAATTTTTTGCATTTACCCATGTTTCCCTCCATTGAAGGATAATCATCATTATTTACATGTTGGTACACTTCTAGTACATTTTTATGCCTAAAGTTTAATTTGGCCACGGAGTAAGAGTCAGTGGTTTCGTTTTGTTTAATTAATTCATTCAT